ACTACATAAGCATATGATTCCTATAATATATTATTCTTATCACTAGGCTATTGACCTCTATTTAAAAATATTATATTTAGATAACTGTCGAAAAACTCCGATTGGTTGCGCTTCAAGTGCCAAGCTCTGTATTAAAGGAAAGCTTTATGATTTGCACAAGTCAACCCAAAATAAATTGATACGCACGATAGATAGTCAAATATATTAGAGGGACTAGTTAATTAAGAGGCAACTTTCGCTTTTCCACTTGTGTCAGACGAACCATTCATTTTCACACCCAAATACACACCACAGCAGGAGTAGGAGGAGTAGCAGCAACAGCAGCAGGAGTAGCAACAACAGCAGCAGCAGCATTCGCATCAGCAAATGAATTGGAGCGTATGCAGTATGCAGTATGCAGTTTCCCCGCTAATTGACCCACTAATAGCAGCTCACTTATCATGCCGCAGCGAAAAATCAACTCTGTGTTAGTGTGTGGTGCTGTGTGGTGCAGTGTGGTGTGTCTGCCTGTCTGTGTGTGTGTGTGAAAAATCATAGCTAATGTGAAAACAATCGCGGATGCTGCGGCTCGAAGTCAATTAGCAGACAGCATGATTCACTCGAAAATGTTTGCTTGCTTTGTTTGATTTTTTTTCAGCATGTTTCGGTGTCGCGTCACAGAAAATTGTGCAAAATCAAATGCGAAAAAATCAAGAACATTTGTGGGTTGTTTCATAAAAATGGGTCAAAGGATGTGCGATGACAATCGCAGGGCAGACATCGCAGCTTAGCATGAATGATTGTTCGCTAGACACTCGCACGTCTAGCTATAAGTGGAGTGGAGCAGACTGAAAAAATTCCATAGTTGAATGGAACATTTGAGGAACAATAATGCAGTTGCGTATAATATGATTCAGAATGACTTATTTATTAGAGATTAAAATGAATATGTAATTAAAAAGTTGAGAAGTAAGCACTAGGAATTCCCACTTGAAATTCAAATTATTTAAAAATAATTTTATATATATTAGTTTTTAAGCAAACTTAAATTCTACAAAATAAGTTAGAGCAGAGATCAATTTAGTATGGAAATGACAAAAATGTTTAAATTTGATAAATACATATGTGAAATGTGAAGTGAAAAACTATAAATTGATAAAAATATTCATTATGCACATGTGAAAAGTATTGATATATTTATATTTATATATTTATATAT